GAGCTACACATTCAGAAAGAGTGAAAGAGAAATTTCCAGATTTCACTGCGTTGGAATATCAACTCTTTTAAAGTACACAATCATTTTTTGATTAGCTTCACATTAATTAATTTACTGTTGTCTTGTTATATATCAAATATTTAACTTTTCTGTATATCTACATAAAAACATGATCTGTTTTCTATTTCAAGTATAAGTGAACATCAATATATTTATCCATTACTCAGACATACTTGCTTGATTTCCAGTATTGAAACATCGCCATGCCAAGAAAAGGAAAGAGGAGTGAATCACAGAAACAGCGCAGAAAGCTACAATCTTCATTGGGCACCAGTAACAGTACCAACTCTGTATCAGGTATGAGTGACGAAAACCCATACGTGCTGTCTGTTAAAGCGTCTCACTGTCAGACCAATGCAAGGTACAGTGTGTACTCCAGAGGCCGTCAGTGTACTTGTAATTCCTTAATATTCCTAGCAGTCCATAATGAACGAAATGAGCTACAGAGTTCCGATTTAGATGGCATTTTACAGAAAGGTGATGCAGTTTACACTAGTGTCAAATGAGCTCTGCAGAGCAAAGGAAAATTTGTGGGTAATTTTTTTAATTTTGATGAGCTACCAAAGACAATTGAGACAAACTCTCAATGCTACAACATCCTGAAACATCCCCAGAGGTTTGAATTTCTGAGAGATACACCTGCACTAGGCAACTATGAAAATCTTGAGAATACTTTGCACTGTCTCAGAGCTGATGTGAGTGATGCTTTGCTGTTGTGTGGAGGCTCATGTATCGCTGTATTCAGAGATCGATCAGGGAGGTTTGGTTATTTTGATTCTCACTGCAGATCAATATATGGAATGCCTGCTGATGAAAGCACAGGTACAGCGGTATTCCTGACGTTTCATCAATTACCGGATCTTGTGGATAGGCTTTTAATATTGTTTCAAGGGTGTTTCGATTTGAGAGACCAGGAAGAGTTTGAGCTGCTGCCTGTATCATTCATTAGCATGATGACTGAAAGCTGTATATGTACTGAAGTCTCCCTGAACTGCTGTGATCTTGAACATGATGTGCAACCATCCGTCTCGTTTGAGAACAAAGCTCTGTCAAATGATGAACAATGCTCATCTGCTGATGTCTCACAACAGTATGTTCAGGTCCAAGATTCAGTTCAACAACTATCTGACACTGCTGTTAACAGAGCCACATCAACAAACCATGAACAATGCTCGTCTGCTGATGTCCCACAACAGTATGTTCAAGTCCAAGATTTAGTTCAACAACTATCTAAGACTGCTGTTAACAGAGCCACATCAATAAAAAATGAACAATGCTCGTCTGCTGATGTCCCACAACAGTATGTTCAAGTCCAAGATTTAGTTCAACAACTATCTAAGACTGCTGTTAACAGAGCCACATCAATAAAAAATGAACAATGCTCGTCTGCTGATGTCCCACAACAGTATGTCCAAGTCCAAAAGTCCACATCAACTGATGAACAAGCCCACTTGATTTATCAAGATAAAATGGAAGTTCAAACTACTGTCACTCAGAATCAAGATAAATATAAAAATGTACCATTGAGTGAACTTTCTCATAACATACTGTCACAGGATAAATTGGCATTGTCAGGTCCAAATCACCAGAATTCACAATTCACAGTCAAGCAGACAGAAAAACTGAACAAGACTCGAAAGAGAAAGTCATACTATAAAAAATGGCACAAAGAAATGGTTCAGAGGCAAGGTGTTTATGACAAAAAAACAGGCTGTACGTGAAGTCTTTGATTATAAAACAAGTAGTGAATACAGAGAAAGACATAACCAAGCCATGAGGAACACCTACTGGAATAAAATTACTTATAGAGATAAACACAAACAAGCAATGAAAAACAACTATAAAAATAATGAAAAATACAGAGGGAATAAAAAGAGTAAAATAACCTTAAATTACAAGAATGATGAACAATTCAGGGAGAGACAAAAGAATTACATCATTCAGAATTACAGGAATTGGGAACAATTCAGGGAGAGACAAAATAATTATATCATTCAGAATTACAGGAATGATGAACAATTCAAGAAGAGACAAAATAATTATATCATTCAGAATTACAGGAACAATCCTAAATATGAGAAAAAGCATAAGCAAAATCTTGTTGACAGATATTTAAAAGATCCCATTTTTAGGCAAAGGAAAAAGGACCATTACACAAACCGATGCAAAAATAATCCTAATGTCTATAAAAAAAAGAAGGAAAATTTTAAACAGCATTATCACTATGATGCTCATTTTAGGGCTCGTCAGAATGAATATTATTTATTCAAATCTGAAAACAAAATATCTGCGCTTAAGGTACTTCACAAAGTACATTGTGCACAAGAGATACAATACAAATACAAAAAAATTTATTTGATGCGCCGGCAGAGAGAAACGTTACAAGATAGCCAGCCTGACATAGTACAAGATCCAGGCATGGTAAGAGCATTAAATATTTTCAGAGATGTTATAAAACAGGGGCCAACTTGTGTCTGCACATGCTGTGCCAGAGCGCTCTTCTCCAATCAAATGCATAATTGTGAAGTGCATAAATATAAACAAAATCCAACAGTTGCTGCACTTTGCTTGACTGGAAACTATGTTCTCATCTGCCCTGATCGATGTGCCTTGGAAGACATGAAAACAGAATGGATCTGTCACAGCTGCCATAGTACCCTGATGAGAGGTCTAATGCCAGATATTGCTGTAGCTAATATGCTTCAGTTCACTCCCATTCCTCCAGAACTGTGTGATTTGAATATTCTAGAAAGACATGTTATTGCAAAGTACATTGATTTGCAAAAATTTTAACACTTCCTAAAGGCCAACAGAGAGCTATAAAAGGAGCTGTAATTTCTGTTGCATCTGAAGTAGAAACAACAGTTAATTGTTTACCAAGGCCAAGAAGTTAATCACAGCTGCTTACAGTGAAACTGAAAAGACGTCTGTGCTACCAAGGTCACTATCAGTTTCAGAATCACAACATACATAAGGTCTTGTCTGCTTTAAGAAAACTAAAAGAAATCCATTCAGAATATAAAGATATCTTCATTAATGCAGCACTCTCAGAAGAAACGTTCAATGAGCATGAGCAAATGACATCAGTGCTCCTGATGAGGAAATGGATGTTGAGAGCAGCAGCCAAAATGAGAACACTGAAGAACAGAGCAATGAGAATGAACACAATGATTCAAGTGATGACCCTGAGAATACTGCAGAAGAGCAATCAAGAGGCCTTGCTTTGGATACATGTCTTCAGCCCCCAGATCTTGGTCAGCAGCTGTTGTCTTATGATGACGGAATATTTTGCATTGCCCCAGCTGCAAAAAACAGTCCTGTTAGCATTTTCAAAGTTAAAAAACTTGAATCAGTGGCTTTCCCAGTGCAGTTTCCTGATGGCCAAAACACCTTCGATGAGCCTGACAGAGCAAAACATGTTTCCCCCAGCAGGTACTTTAACACAAGGCTTCCGCAAATGACATCAGTGCTTCTGATGAGGATATGGATGTTGAGAGCAACAGCCAAAATGAGAACAGTGAAGAACAGAGCAATGAGAATGAACACAATGATTCAAGTGATGACCCTGAGAATACTGCAGAAGAGCAATCAAGAGGCCTTGCTTTGGATACATGTCTTCAGCCCCCAGATCTTGGTCAGCAGCTGTTGTCTTATGATGACGGAATATTTTGCATTGCCCCAGCTGCAAAAAACAGTCCTGTTAGCATTTTCAAAGTTAAAAAACTTGAATCAGTGGCTTTCCCAGTGCAGTTTCCTGATGGCCAAAACACCTTCGATGAGCCTGACAGAGCAAAACATGTTTCCCCCAGCAGGTACTTTAACACAAGGCTATTCTCTATTGACAATCGTTGTGCAAGAGACACAAGCTACATCTTCTTTGCTCAGTTTGTCACTGAAATGCACATGGCCACATCTAGTATGTCTATCCAGCTGAGAAAAGCAAAACCCATGACCCGCGATGGACGCAGAATAAACTGTTCGCTGCTGCAGGACAAACAGGAGTTAGAAAAACTTGTGAATAATAAGGAGGCAACACGTTTCATGCAACCATTAAGAGGGACTCCAGCGTACTGGGAGAAAACACTGCGTGATTTGTTTGCTATGCTGAGACAGCTGGGCACTCCCACATTTTTCTGCACGTTTAGTGCTGCTGAGATGAGATGGTCTGAAGTGATAAACGCAATTAAAGCACAACAAGGTGAAACTGTGAACTTTGATGAATTAGACTGGTCTGAAAAATGTGAAATATTAAGAAGCAACCCAGTCACAGCCATGCGGATGTTTGAAAAACGCGTTCAAAGTCCTGTAGAAAAAACAAGAAACACTGCAGATTTGGATTTCCTAAACAACCCATTAACAGAACCACGATAACCCGCCCCAGACCTCCTCCTGTAGATCAGTCTGATGATGAGAATGGATCAGAGGAAAGAGATTATGCCAGTGTTGCAAAAGAACAGCTACAGAAGGTGTGGGATCTACTGAATGACTCAAATCAGAGTTTTGAAACCATTACAGAGCTACTTAATCAAGCAAACATGACTTATGAAGAGTATGAGAAACATATTGAGGCTCTGTCTACATTAAGTTTAATAGTCATGGAGAGACGACCACAGGACTGCTGGGTTACTGGCTACAATCCAATGTTATTAAGAGCTTGGAATGCAAACATGGACATACAGTTCATTCTGAATCCCTACAGCTGTATCATGTACATACTCTCGTACATTTCAAAAGCTGAACATGAGATGAGTGATTACCTAAAGAGAGTGATAAAAGACTCAAGCCATGATAACCTGTCTGATCGTGAGTGCATGAAGCAGGTCATGAATGCCAATTCAAAGAACAGAGAAGTCAGCGCTCAAGAGGCAGTCGCTCGCACATGCAATCTGAAATTGAAATCATCATCATGTTCTGTCATTTTTCTACTTAATCAAGCAAACATGACTTATGAAGAGTATGAGAAACATATTGAGGCTCTGTCTACATCAAGTTTATTAGTCATGGAGAGACGACCACAGGACTGCTGGGTTAATGGCTACAATCCAATGTTAAGAGCTTGGAATGCAAACATGGACATACAGTTCATTCTGAACCCCTACAGCTGTATCATGTACATGCTCTCGTACATTTCAAAAGCTGAACATGAGATGAGTGATTACCTAAAGAGAGTGATAAAAGACTCAAGCCATGATAACCTGTCTGATCGTGAGTGCATGAAGCAGGTCATGAATGCCTATTCAAAGAACAGAGAAGTCAGTGCTCAAGAGGCAGTCGCTCGCACATGCAGTCTGAAACTGAAATCATCATCACGTTCTGTCATTTTCATACCCACTGATGACAATGCTGTAAAGATGAGTTTACCAATGAGGTACTTGCAGACCATGGATGATGACGTAGAGAATGTGTGGATGACAGGATTGCCAGACAAGTACAAGGCCAGACCAAACAGACCTGAATTTGAGAACATGTGCATGGCTGAATTTGCAAGTGAATACCGCATTGTTTATGGAGGACAGACAAAAGGTAAAAATGTTTTGCCACTTCAAAAAAATATGGGACACATACAGAAAAGAACAAGGGGAAAGCCTGCTGTTATTAGATTTGCTCGTTTTTCACAGCAGAAAACCCCAGAAAAATTCTATGGAACTCTAGTAAAGCTTTACCTACCATATCGCAGAGATGAACAGCTGAAGTCCACAAGATTCCCGACATATGAATCATTTTATGCATTTGCTTCAGTAAAACTACCAGGCACTGATGAACTGCAACGTGTGTTCAACATTGTAAATGAAAACCGTGAGAAATATGAAAAACATAATGAGGCTATAGAAAAGGCAATTGAGGATTTTGAACAGAATGGGCCAATTGAAGATGCATGGACTACACTGGCACCTGCAAATGAACTGATCAGATTGGAAAGCATTATGGAGCGCGAACCCACTGATCCTAATGAAGTGAATGAGCAAGAAGACATTCCTGAATACACAGCATCTACCTCTGTCAGTAACACAGCTATGCCACTCATGGAAGCTGCCCATCTAAATCATGCACAGATTCACAAAATGTATCAGAGCTTGAATCAAACACAAGCTTCCATATTTTATGCTGTGCGAGACTGGTGCAAAAGATGTGTCTCTGGTGAAAGCCCACAACCGTTTCTGTATTTTTTGAATGGAGGAGCCGGAGTTGGTAAATCACACGTTATTACATCTATTTATACAGAAGCATCCAAAATCCTGCGTAGGCTTCCATGCATGCGAGAGCATACTGACATTTCACAGCCTACTGTTCTTTTAACTGCATTCACAGGCACTGCAGCCTTTAATATCTCAGGTAACACACTGCACCCATGCATGCGAGAGCATACTGACATTTCACAGCCTACTGTTCTTTTAACTGCATTCACAGGCACTGCAGCCTTTAATATCTCAGGTAAAACACTGCACTGTCTTTTGAAGCTCCCAAGAAGCTTGAAGCCTCCTTATCAAGGCCTGGGAAACAGCTTGGATGAAATGAGGGCAGACCTTTCTAATGCACACATTTTAATTATTGAGAAAATCTCAATGGTGTCAAAACAGTTGTTTGCGTATGTGAACTGGAGACTGCAACAGATAAAAGGAAACCAGAAACCTTTTGGTGGATTTTCCATACTCGCTGTTTTTTTCCAGGTGCCACCACTTGGAAGAGCAAAACCACTCTGTGTGTATGAGGACCATGTGCTGGACTTCTGGAAAGATAATTTTCAGATGATAACACTGACACAGATAATGAGGCAGAGAGATGATCTTGCATATGCTGAGCTTCTCAACCGTCTCAGGGTGAAACAGAAGCACGCAAAACTGACTGATGCAGACAAGTGCATGCTAGAAGCGGTCATAAGATCCTCCCCTGAAGAGTGTCCTATTGATGCATTACACATCTATGCAACCAATAAAGAGGTAGACAGTCATAACACTGAAGCCATAACCTCACGCTTTTCAGATATCATTAACATTGATGTGCATGACTACAAAAAAGATCCACGAACAGGTGAAATGAAAAGGCAAGCTGTACCATTAAAAGGAGACAAACGTGATCTAATTGATACACTACAGATTGCTATTGGTGCACGAGTGATGCTTACTAGAAATATTGATGTAGAAGATGGACTGGTTAATGGGACTTTTGGCAATGTGGCAAAAATAACAGCTCAAACTCGACATGGTGTTCCTGTTGTTCAATCAATTGGTCTTTATCTAGATAATGTGACTGCTGTACAGAAACATCGCAACAAAGCACATGATGGAGATGACAATATTGTATATATTGAGAGATCAGAGGAACCACTAAAAAAAAAAGGAACAGTTCGAAGGCAATTTCCCATGAAACTTGCTTTTGCATGCACTATCCATAAAGTTCAAGGAATGACTACTGATCGTGCTGTCGTATCTCTGAAGCGCATTTTCGAATCAGGCATGGCATATGTTGCACTCAGCAGAACAACAACACTCAGCGGACTGCACATTACTGACTTTGATGAAAAGAAAGTTTTCTGTGATCCAGAAATAAGTGCTTCCTTGGAGAACATGCCAAAAGCAGATTTTCACAATATTCAACCCATCCTTCACATTGTACAGGATTCAAAAATGAGTTCAGCTCTTAAAATCATTCATCATAACACAGAGAGACTGGAGTGTCATATGGATGATTTGAAATGCCATCATGAACTTTTACTGGCTGATGTTTTGTGTTTCACCGAAACACACCTGTCAGGCTCAGCTGTTCCTGCATACCTCCAGCTGGATGGATACACCATGTACAAACGCAAAAGACATGCATCCTACACAAACTACATCCATTTGGCAAACAAGAGTGGTGGTGGAGTGGCCCTTTTATGTGAAGAACAGCTTTCAAGTTTCTCCTCTGATGTACATACAGAATGTTACTGACCTGGAATATTTGGTTATGAAGATAAAAGCCCCCAAACAAGCACTTCTTGCAGTGATCTACAGACCACCCAGTTATAATTTAGCAGACTTTTTGGCAAACCTGAATGCCCTCTTGACATCTCTGGAGATCATGGATTTCAAGCCCATCATAGTGTGTGGAGACTTCAATGAAGATCAGCTGTCTCATCACAACAAACCTATTCTCAATTTGTTTGAAGATAAAGGATACACGTAGCTAATCAGCACCGGGACAACAGAAAACAACACTCTTCAGGATCCTGTGTTCATAAGCGGCGCACACTCAAACGTCAGATCGGGAGTTCTACAGACATATTACAGCTATCATGATCCTGTGTATTGTGTTTTAGAGTAGATACATCACAAAAGCTGCATAGATCTCATTTAGCACTTCTGTAAAATAATGTCATGATTTTAAGAAATAATGCTAATACAAATGTGAATAAATTCAGTGTATATATTAAAGCTTCACATTTTCTGTCTATTTCTTGTGTGCATGTGTGTGTATGTGTTAAATAGGGAAGGTGTGTGTGTGTGTGTGTGTTAGATAAAGAATGAATGGAGAGTGAATGTCCTTTCCAAGGATCGCCACCTTGACGTGGTGGAAAGGCTTGTGTGTTCCAGTGATCCCAGAAGTAAGTCATTCTGGAGCTTTTTATTCCAGTTTGATATGCTTAAGGGTGAGGTTCCAGACTAAGTGTGATCCAAATGGGCATTAACGGAATAAAATTATATTTTAAGCATGATTACTTGATTTTGTCTTTCTTGATCATTTTATAACAAATATTGTGTGGCTATCACATGCAAAATTATGAAGTTGCTAGGGTGTTGCTATGCAGTTGCTAGGGTTCCTGGGGTGGTTGCTAAGGTGTTGCTATGCGGTTGCTAACGTACTCTTGGTGGTTGCTAAGGTGTTACTATGCGGTTGCTAGGGTACCCGCTGTGGTTTCTAAGGTGTTGCTATGCGGTTGCTAGGGTACCCGGGGTGGTTGTTAGGTTGTTGCTATGCGGTTGCTAGGGTACCCGGGGCAGTTGCTAGGGTGTTGCTATGCGGTTGCTAAGGTACTCAGGTTGGTTGCTATGCATTTGCTAGGGTACCCAGGGTGGTTGCTAAGGTGTTGCTATGCGGTTGCTAAGGTACTTGGGGTGGTTGCTAGGTTGGTTTGGATAGTTGCTAGGGTGTTGGTATGAAGATAGATAGATAGATAGATAGATAGAAATTTTTGACCGGGAACACCACAAGTGTGACTTCGTGCCATTTTGTACAAAATAAAAGCCTTTCAAAACAAACTCCCTGATTAAACATTAAAGTACACTAGTGTGATAAACAGTGCAAATTTTCATCAGTTTTTATTTAATATTGTGAAAATTATTCATAAATAATGCTTTTTTCACTCAAAAAATTAGGTGCCTACTCCCAGATAAATGAGGCCTACGATTAATCAGAAGCAAATATAAATACAAAACCAGTCCTATATAAAAGAAAAGAAGTTGACAAAAAGATTGAATCCAATATTTGGTGATAATATAGCATAATGAGTGATTTATAAGCATTTTTTTGAGGCCGGGTCCTTTTTGCTCTGTAACATCGTAAGTGTGATGGGGTTCTGAACACAACACAAGGGTTTTAAGAAAATTTTTATTTAAATTAAATGAATTAATCAATAAACATACCAAATTCCTAATTCATAGGCTAAGACAAGAAAACTTCCATCATTATTTTTTATCCGGTAAATATTTGGCAAATAAAATCAAACTAAATAAAGAAAAAACAACAATACCAGTTATTACAGACACAGCAGGGAAGTCCACCAATTCACCAGAAGAAATAAATCAAATCTTTCAACATTTTTACAGTAAATTATATTCCTCTGAAAGAGACCCGACTCAGAAAGAAATCAATTAATTTGTCAACAATATCAACCTACCTCAACTTAGTAAATATCAAATAAATACTCTTGTATTGAATCCCCCTTAACAGAACAATAAATCTTTAATGCCCTTAAACTCAGGTCCTGATGGATTCCCTGCGGAGTTCTGCAAACACTTTTGGTCCATTTTATCACCACTCTTCATCCGAATGATAAATGCAGGGGTTAAAGCAAAACAAAAAAAATCCTGAGCCTGAACTTTTTTCCGGGGGTTGGGGGTTGTGGGGGCGGACACATACACAGGGTTATTTGGCAAACAAAAAAAGAAAATTATTTATAACTAGTATACGTATAAATAGTAACGTATCTGCAAGGGCTGTGCGATTTGGGGGAAAATATCTAATTGCGATTTTTTTTGACAGGCATTGCTATTAGCCCTTGACAGGCTCAGACTACAGATTATGGTGGGATATTTGAAAAAGCAATATCAAGAAAGGTTACTCACTACAATATGGTGCAAACACATGTAACATTTAGGATGCTTTTGATATCAAGTTTTGCTGGTTAGCTTTGTCCTTGACAGGGTACAAGATGACCTACAATCTAAAACATGACATTTCTGAAATTGTTTTGTTCAAAATAAATAATGGTAAATTAAATACTAGGAAATTAATATAAAATAGGAAATATACAAAGACAATTTACTACAGAAAACTACAGTTCAGTTCAGTTAACAAAAAAAAAAAAACATTAAAATGGTCCAAGAACTGGTAAACAGGGTTCATACAGATACTGCAAAATAAAATTCCAGGACTTTCAAGGACTTGCACTACTTTTTTGCTTTTCAAGGACTAAAATCAGATCTCACTTATCAATCAATCAGGATAACACAAATGTCACTTTTCTGTTCATTCTTTTTCATGAATATATGATTGACCTGAAGAATGAAAAGCTATGTCCATTGGAAAATTATGAGCTTTATCACACTCATAGACACTAGGGGTGTGTGACAATACACTTAGCTCACAAGGTGAGACAAAATGCAGAAACTTGGTTCACTAGAACGAGACAATGTTTTAATAGTAATACTTTAAGAAATGTTAAAATTACAAAATATTTGTCTTTTAATTACAAAAAGTAAAACAATCAGTGGTGGAAAGAGTACTGAAAAAATATACTCAAGTAAAAGTACCATTACCTTCCAAAAAATGTAGTGTAAAAGAGTAGCCTATTTAAAAGTACTCATGAGTATTGAGTAGTGAGTACTGAGCTGTGGATTCTACCCCCTCATAATAAACGCTGTACACCGCAATTTATACATTTTAAAAACGTTGTACATTCTGTAATTCACATAATCTTATAATCATTTAGTAAGCAGAAATCCGAAATTTACCTTAACATATTAAGAAGATGCGACTGAATTGTTGCTTGAATAATGCACTTCCAGCAGCCTTGATAAACAGTTGGCGGTTAAAGTTTTCTATGCACAATTTGATTTGACGAAAGTCACGAGACCTATTACTCTCCGACGTTTAAATCCATTTAATTTTAATATTTGACCACATGCAAAGTCAGAAAATCGCGATGTACAATAAATCGCATATTTAGAAATATGTTGATGTATTCTCCTGTGTTGGCATAGGTTTAAATGATTTACGTTACAAATCAAGTGAGTTTTCCCAGACGAACGTTAAGCAACCCAACCTCACCGCATATGCAGAGGAAGAGTTTAGCCCCTTTCACACATACCGTTAAGAGATCATGTGTGAACAAGACCTTTTCAAAACTACAGGTAAATTCGTTCTGGCAATCATATCGTTCCTATGGAGATGACGTGATTACTCTGAGCTGTCTACAAAGCTCCGCTGCTTTTTTAATAGCTTTTCTATGTAAATATGACGCTAGATGGAAATCTGACCATTGCGCCTCACAGCTTTTTCAATGTGTCACACTCGAGACCCAGGCTTCTTTTCCATCATGAACTCAAACGTGATATCAACAAGTGTTTTTAAATGTAGGACAACTTTTTTTTTTTCCCGCAGCCAAACGCCACACTCCGGAGTTCCGGCACAGTGCCGGAGAACCAAAACAAAAATCAAAACTCCCAGATAACACGAACACAGCCACAATTTCACTCCTTCTCAAACCCAATAAAGACCCAACACTACCGTCAAGCTATCGTCCAATTTCCCTAATCAATGTAGACATTAAAATCATCGCCAAAGCACTAGCCCATAGAATAGAAAAAGTCACACCATCTATAATCCATCCAGACCAAACTGGCTTCATTAAAGGTAGACTTGCATCTAACAACACACGCAGACTTTTTAACTTAATGTATTACTCCTCAATTAAAAAAAACAAAACCATCAGTCACTCTTGATGCAGAAAAAGGATTTGATAGTCAATTGGAAATTCCTGTTTTCCATACTAGAGAGGTTTGGTTTTGGGGAGTAATTCATTAATTGGATTAAAATTCTGTATACATCACCTTCAGCCACTGTCATCACCAATGGACTAACATCAAGTAGCTTCACACTGCACCGGGGGACTAGACAAGGATGCCCACTCTCCCCTTCACTATTCACCATTTTCATTAGGGCTGCACGATAAATCGCATGCGATATTTAACGCGCAACTTGTCAGTAATGCCATTCTGTAATCAGCGGTAATACTCCATCACCTGCGGGCTTTGTCGGTGAACAACGGCTTTGTGTAGTTAATGCTGCTCCATGTGAAAGCCCGCAGGTGATGGAGATTTACCGCTGATTAAAGAACCGGCTTTACTGACAAGATGCGCGTTAAATATCGCATGCGATTTATCGTGCAGCCCTAATTTTCATCGAACCATTAGCAGCAGCCATCCGTCACAACAGCAACATAAAAGGAATTCAAACACTAAATATACACCACAAAATAAGTCTTTATGCTGATGATATATTATTATATTTACAAGACCCCCCATCATCATTACAAGAAACGATTAAACTCATTGACTCATTCTCAAATATTTCTGAATAATCAACTGGAGTAAATCTGCTATTCTTTCATTACATTCCACCAGCTTGGATGTGACATCCCATACACCACCAATTCCTCTGTGCACCAATTACATCACATATCTAGGTATTAATGTTTCCCCCAGGCTGTCAGAGCTGTTTGAACTCAACTACTCTCCATTACTTAAAACGATAGACGATAATCTTCAACGCTGGATGAACCTACCACTATCTATTATGGGCAGAATATCAGTAATTAAAATGACTATACTCCGTAAATTAAACTATTTATTTACAATGGGACATGGCTGTTTTTCTTAATCCATGCAAGCTAGAGGCACACTATA